AGATATTGATTATATTTTTATATACTAATAATAAACTATTAGAAAGGCAAATTAAGAAAACAATTCCACTTATAACTGCCACAAAAAGTTACTTATAAATAAATTTAACCAAGCAGATACTTGAAAAATTGTAAGACACTCCAGAAAGAGAGTGAAAAAGATACAAATGAATGAAAGCATATACTGTGTTCATGGATTGGAAGAATTAACATATTAAAATGTCCATACTATCCAAAGCAATCTGTAGATTCAACATAATTCCTATAAAAATGTCAATGGTGGTTTCATAGAACTAGAACAAATAACCACAAATTTTATATGGAAACACAAAGACTCCATCAATCTTGAGAAAGTATGATACCTCAAAGTTGGAGGTATAATACTATTTCATATAAAACTATACTACAAGGCTATAGTACTCAAAACAGCATAGAACCAGCATTAAGACATACATATAGATCAGTGGAAAGACAGAGAGCCCATAAATAAACCCACACTTGTATGATCAATTAATATTTGACAAGGAGGCAAGAACATACAATGGGATAAAGACATTCTACTCAATAAATGGTGTTGGGAAAACTGGATAGATATACACAAAAAATGAAACTAGACCATCTTCATATACCATATGCAAGAATAAATTCAAAATGGATTAAAGACAAACGTAAGACTTGAAACCATAAATATCTTAGAAAAAAATATAGGCAGTAAAATCTCTGACATTTCTCTTAGCAATTTCCCCCTCTCCCCCCTAATGTATCTCCTCAGGCAAGGGAAACAAAAGAAAAAAATAAACAAATGGCACTACATCAAGGTAAATTTTTTTGCACAGCAAAGGAAACCATCAACAACATGAAAAAAACAACCTACTGAATGGAAGAGGATATTCCCAATGATCCATCCATTAAGGGGTTAACAAAAAATTTGTAAATAACTCAACACCCAAAACAAACAAACAAACAAACAATCCAATTAAAATAGGCAGAGGACCAAAATATCGATAGACACATCTCCACAGAGAACATACAGGTGTGGCAATATACAGATGCAAAGATGCTCAACATCACTAATCATCAGAGAAATATAAATTAAAACCTCAATGAGATATCACCTCACACCTGTCAGAATGGCTGTCATCAATAAATCAGCAAACAATAAGTGTTGGTGAGGATGTGGAGAAAGGGAGCCTGTGCACTGTTGGTGGGAATGCAGACTGGTGCAGCCACTGTGGAAAGCAGTATGGGGGTTCCTCAAAAATTAAAAATGGAACTGCCTTATGACCCAGTAATTCCACTTCTAGGTACTTATTCCAAGAAACCCGAAACCCGAATTCAAAATAATATAAAATAATAAAATATACTCATTGCAGCATTATTTACATTATCCAAGATATGGAAGCAACCCAAGTGCCCATCAATAGATGAATGGATAAAAAAGCTGTGGTATATACACTGAGTGACCAGATTATTATGGTCTCTGAACGCATAATAATCTGGCCACTCAGTGTGTGTGTGTGTGTGTGTGTGTGTGTGTGTGTGTGTGTGTCTGTGTGTGGGTATTAGAGGCCTGGTGCATGAATTCGTGCATGGGTGGGATCTTTCCAGCCTGGCCAAGGGGAAGGGACATGGTTGGTTGACCAGCCTGCCTGCTGGTTGAACTCCTGGTTGGGGGCTAATTTGCATATTAGTCTTTTATTATATAAGATATACACTGAGCAGCTAGATTATTATGTATTATAATAATCTGGCCACTCAGTGTGTATATACAAAGGAATCTTCTTTGGTCAGAAAAAAAGAAAAGAAATATTACTATTGCGACAATATGGATAGACCTGGAGGGTATTATGCTAAGTTAAATAAGTCAGTCAGAGAAAGACAAATATATGATTTCACTTATCCAAAGAACCAAATAAATGAACAAACAAAACTGGAACAGACTCATAAACACAGAGAACAGACTGATGGTTGCCATATTAGGGGAGATATTGGAGATCTAGGTGAAAAAGGTGAAGGGATTAAAAAGTACTAATTGGCAGTTACAAAATAGTCACGGGGATGTAAAGTATAGCATAGGAAGGATAATCAATAATACTGTAATAACTATGTATGGTGACAGATGGAACACTATGTAAAATATTTGATTATGTAACTACTATGCTATACACCTGAAACTAATACAAAATACTGAATATAAACTTTAATTGAAAGATAAAATTAAAAAAATAATGTTATAAACTCCAAGTTCAATAAGGCCCCTTTGTTGTTATGGTTAAAAAAAAAAAAAAGTCAACCTATACTACAGATGCTGTCAACTAACAAAAAAAGGAAGGTGAAGGGTCGTACTCTAGGAATCCATCTTCCCAGCCTTACTTCATGCTGGTTTCCAAACAACAGAATTCAAGTACCAGACAAATTTATTTATTCATATTATTAGTCTACAGGTGCCGCCCACAGGTGACAAGACTGGGCTGGGCTGTCAGGCACTTCAGTGTGGTCTTCTGTGAATGGGCTGGTTTTTATAGCATCAGCTCAATGGGGTACTTGATAGCAATGGTCTTTTCTCAGCCTGCCCAACTAAACAGCTCTCAGCATTACCGGTGTCTGGGGAGAGACCCCTGAGTCAGAGCTATTTGGTGGTGTCTTTTCCTGCCCCTTTGTTCCTCTCACACATGAGGACGTCATTGCTGGCACTGAGGTGGGGAGGTTAAAGATTACTCATAGGAAAGTTCTTTTCTGACACCCCAACTCCCCAGCTCAACTACCAGCACCATGATACATCTTTCACAGAAATAAATCAGGACACACATTTGGGATCTAGGAAGCAGGAGAATGGCAGTGGCCAGCTGTGCCAATGGTAGAGGTACGGGGCTCTAGGCATGGCCAGGGTCTGTGGCCACAGAGGCACCTGCTGTCCACAGAGGAGGCTTTCAAGCTATCAGCCTGAAACCGGACTGGGAAAGAATCTAAGAGCATTAACTCTGTAACGTGTGACATCTGGCGTGGAGATTCAAGTAGAATATATGTTGGCCTTTGGGAATGAAAGCTCTCTAGGAATCAGAGAGTAAACAGTAGCAGCTATGACAAAGGATTTAGAAATTTGGGGAGAAAGTCTGGATCCTGGGTTCCAGCTTATTTGGACTCTGTAATTTCCCTTTGTGAGGGAAACAACTCACCAAAGGGGTCAAGAGCAGGATAGAAAGGGGAAAAAGAGATCCTGTCTAAATTGTGGTGGGTGCATTATCTGAGTAAAAACCTACCAGGAATAGACTCTCTTGAAGGTCAACAGTACAACCAGGGTGGCAGAATAAAGAAAGTTAGCTGATAAGACTGAGCCACATGAAAGCAACTAAGCCCAGCCAACTCAGCCAGATCTCTCTTTCTACCTTTTTTCTTTTTGCTTTTCCCAACCAGATCTCTTTTTGACATCGGGAGGTGAATGGAAGAAGTGGACAGTGGTTGCAGTAACCTTTAGAGATATAATAATGCTCATATTCCAGCAATATCTTCAGACACATGGGATCCAGGTTAATCTGAGACAGCCAACTTCCTGAATCCCCATTATAAATCTGAGCACTATGACATACATTGCATTATTTAATCCCAATAACTCCATGGGCTAGGTATTAAAATCATTTTCAAAGCAGAAATAGACTTAGAGAGGCCGAGTAAACTGTTACGTGTTATCCAGGTAGTAAATGATAGATAGAGCTGATATTTGAATCAAAGCCTGTAAGACAGGAATCTGAATTCCAGAAGTAAAGCGAACACATAGAGCCGTTCTGATTGCAAAGGAAACAAGGCATGGGCAATGAACAGATATCGAGATAAAAATCTCCCCCTTTTCCTCCCCGCCCCCCTTTATAATTCCTAAGGAGTTTTTCTTAGAATTGCAAGAAAGATGATGTGGCTGAAGCCGGTTTGGCTCAGTGGCAGAGCATCGGTCTGCGGACTGAAGGGTCCCAGGTTCGATTCCGGTCAGGGGCATGTACATTGATTGCGGGCATATCCCCGGTGGGGGGTGTGCAGGAGGCAGCTGGTCGATATTCCTCTCTCATCGACATTTCTAGCTCTCTATCCCTCTCCCTTCCTGTCTGTGAAAAAAAATAAAAATAAAAATAATGTGGCCTTTATGGGAGACTCAGAAATAATACACCTCAAGAGGCTGGAGGCATCTAAAGGACAAGATCTTTATCTCGTCTCATGCTACTCAACCATGGCCTGCCTGACTGATAGGACCGAACAAGAGCCTGTAGCATAGATGCTGAAACCAGGCAAAAAGTGAGGCGCAAGGTTTGTTTTGTTCTCTCTCCGTTTTTGATGAGGCAAAATTTCATATTACCATGGCTCATTGGGCAACTGGGCAACTGAGCCAGGCAAGCATAAAGCTGGATATTTCAGTTTCTTTTAAGTATGGATTGAGAAGAACCACATTAAACGTGCATCAGGCAGGTTGAAAAAGTCATCAATAATTCCATGACAGGAAATAGGAGTAATCCACATATTTGATGGGTACAATTATAATGATATACCTTATGACTTACCACCTTATTTTAAACTGTATACATTAGAGATTAACACGGTAAGATCAGTGTGGGGGAAAATGATTATCTTAATCCTGTTGCAATAAAAGACTAATATAGAATAAAGGACCTGATGATTATTTGCTGATAAAAGCATCTCTAACACAAATGTTTCCAAAATAGAGATAAATACCCTCCTTTCTGTCCATTGATATAGACAAGGGAAGAAAGAATAATTTTCTGAGAATAGCACATTCCCTAAACATCACAAGTGTGTGGGGGAACATGGCTCTGTGTGGCCTCACCACCTTTTAGTGCTTCATGTACCATACTTTCCCCACTAGACACAGGTATACTTTCTCCACTAGACACAGGTATACCAGTCATGGCTCCAGATGCCTCTTTAGAAGCTGGAAAAACACATATTTTTTAACCCTAGCCACTTCCTCCAACTCCCCACTCCTCATATGGCCTTTACCTTCCACAGGGTTGCTTTTCAGTTTACTGCAGAGATTCATTACACCTCCATAGTGGGCCTGGATCTGGGTCAGAGCTTCCGATGAACGCAGCTCCATGAGCTTCCTTAGGTCCATGACTGTGCAGCCAAATTCCCCTTCATGGCTCTCAATTGTCGAGTTGGCCGGCAAGGCATGTTCTGAAGGGTTTGTCATGTTGCCTGCTGTTTCCAAGCCCTTCAGGCAGCCTCAGACAGAGAAAATGTGGAGTTCCCCTCCAACTGATCAGGGTCTCTTGCTTCTTTGCCTACTTCCTGTTTCTTGCTTCTGTGGGAGCCCAGTTAGGAAATGGATGGACTCTGTCTTATGCAATAAGCTTCAGAGCTTCTAGCCAAGATCCTTTTCCCTTGGGAAGCTTGGCAGCAAGAAGAGGAAGAGGATGGGGGGAACTAAGTGGAAGCCGGACCACGTGCCACGATGACTGGTGCCCCCAGGTGGCGATAGAAGTGGTTGTCCAGGGTAGGTAGGTTCCTAGCTTAGACCAGCTTGCCCAGATGGAAGTGTAAACAGCATGCGCATGTTACCATGGAGGCAACCTTAGCAACAACCAGGAACTGCAATGGTAGAGAGGCAGCAGCAGGAGGAGGAGGGCTCCCTGGATACCGATGACAACTGGATCTCTGAAATAAAAGATTCAAAGACAGACAAAAAGAAACAATTAGAGCAGTCATGGTGATCCAGCACCTGCCGAGGCAAGAAGAGATACTCGTTCTAGCACGAGGGTTTAGGTGACAGTTGGTGCCCGACCTGAACTGACAGCGGAACCCTGAGCTAAGAGAACTCATTCAGGAGAGGCCCCTTCCCCCGTCAGAGGCCCCAGCAGCCTGTAAAGCCCAACGTAGGTAAGTAATTTCAGATACACCCAGGCTTCATATCTGCTCTCTCCCAGCCCAAGCAACACAAATCCTACCACTTCAGAAGCTTGGAAATAAAAGGCATGAGCTCTCATGGCTCTGATGTTCTCCCTACTCATGGGCCCCGCTACAGAATCCTTTCATCTTGACCTCACTTCTATGAGGCGAGAAGAGATCAGAAAAAGAGTGCGGTCCTGAGTGTTCCTCCGGAGGATGGCCTGCCAGTCTGCCCCTCTCCCTCTTGCTCCATACCCTTCCTTACTCTCAACACACACACTTACACACCAGGAAGGTGACTGATGGAAGAGGCCCTGTCCTCCACGGCCCCTCAGAACACCCTGCCTTCAGCTGTATGGAAATCCTGCAGCTTGCAGTTGTCAACAGGCCAGGCAAGCAAGCGCAGGCCTTGGAGCTAAGCCCCTCCCTCCCCCACAAAGCTTCTGGAGGGAAGGGGAGAGTAACATGCTCTGGCAGTCGATGAAACAGGGTGGGACTTTTTTACCCAAGGGAGGCGGGCAGAAGGACCTCTGAGGAGAAGAGATAGTGAGTTTAAAGCCTGAGTGTTAGTGTTTTCGGGGTGGCAGGGATAAGACAGCGTTTGATTTCGATAGAGCCCAAGCCCACAGCAAGGTCGCAGGGCAACAGAGTTACTCAAAAAGGCATGTGCTGCCTCTCGCACATGCTGGCTAGAGAGGAACAGGGCGATGGGCAGGTGAGGATAGGGAGGGCTGGAGGACTGAAGGCTTATCCAGAGCCCTGTTCTCGGCTTCAGCTTCGGAGAGGCTTCCGTGTGGCAGGCAGGACCATGGCCATGGACATGGGAAGGGGCTCTTTCTGGACGCAGCACAGGAACCCGGAGGCCCAGCCGTGGTTAAACTGTCCCCGCTGACTTGAGTTCGGTTACCAGGAGGAGAGCAAGGAGCTCTGCTCAGCCTCTCTCTAATAAAGACATGGCACCCTCGCTTCTAGAAGGTGAACAAAGCACACGAACTAGCAGATGAGGACTTTTCTCTTTTATCAATTACTTTTATTTTCTTTTAAATATATTTTATTGATTTTTCACAGAGAGGAAGGGAGAGGAATAGAGAGTTAGAAACATTGATGAGAGAGATACATCAATCAGCTGCCTCCTGCACACCACCCACTGGGGATGTGCCCGCAACCAAGGTACGTGCCCTTGACCGGAATCGAACCTGGGACCCTTGAGTCCACAGGCCAACACTCTATCCACCGAGTCAAACTGGTTACGGCTATCAATTACTTTTCCAAAAATCACATGTGGCCAAAGTTCCTGCTGATCCCTATCAATCCTGTTCTCAGTAGGATCCCCTGGATAGAGGTGATTTACAAACAGACCCCTGTCCCAATGGGCCTTTGGCCGCCTCCTTCTATCCCGAGTTTTAGAGCTATCCTGACTTACACAGGGTTAAGCAAGCAGGGTTTTCTTTTGTTGTTGTTATTGTTTTTAATATCACACTCCCTTTACTTTTAGATGTCATCAGAGGATCCTGGAAACAAGGAGGTCTGGAAAAACCCTGAGGCAGTATGTCCAATTCCCTTCATTCTGACTGGCACAGAGATAATCAGCTCCACAGAATTTCTCTCCAGTTCAGCTTCTCCTCCGAGCTACTAGGAGGCAGTAGAGGGCGAAGATTCTATCGTAGTAAGAAGCCAACCTTGGTCCTTACATAGTCCTCCTTAAGCTTTCAAGAGGATGCTGAAAACAGTGCTGACAGTGCTAAACTGGACATCGGGTCTCTTCTCTGTCTCTGCTCACTACAATGTCTAATCCATGAAGGTAGAGATTTTACTCATCTTGTTCATGGCTTTATCACCGGTGCCTAGAGGAGAACCTGCACATGGTGGGCGTTCAGCTACATGTCTTATTGAATGAACAACAGCAGATTCAGAACCAGATTTGCCATCTTCCCAGGCACCCGTTGGGCAAGTCATTTAGCCTTCTTAGGGCTCACTTTCTCCCACCTTAACCTGGGGGAGAAATCAGCCCTACCTTTGCGCACCATCCTAAAGAAGGGGTAAAGGAATGGCATTATAGATAGAAACAGTGCTTGGAAATCTTGGATAAAAGATGCCCAGTGCCCAGTACAGGACACTCAGCGATTTGAGAAAGCTTCGTTTGATCTCAGTGAACTTTGTTATCTAGCCCTTTAAGCAGGACATCCACCCCCCCCCCCCCCCCCCGTCTTTCCTTGCCAGAGGGAGAATGGAAAATTTCAAGGATGCTTCATCAGCAATAACCACTAGCCAGCTAATAACCACTAGGCTACATAGCCTTGGCTCTCAAGAAAAGGAGCAGCCTAAGCCAGATTTCCTTCCTTTGAACTTCTCCTCAAGGTATCAAAGAGGAGAGCTTCTCCCACTCACATAGGCAACCAGAAAGGAAAAAGTCACTGGAGATGAAAACACAGCCCAGTGAGTGTGGCTCTGTGGCTGAGCATCGACCCATGAACCAGGAGGTTGAAGCTTGATCCCCCATAGGGGACGTGGGGGAGACAGCCGCTTGATGATTTTCTCTCATCACTGATGTTTCTCCCTCTCCCTTCCTCTTTCTGAAATCAATAAAAAGTTTTTTTTGTTTTTTTTTTTAAGATGAAAACACATGAGGCATGTGGGAACAATGAGGTTTGCTTGCTTCAGGTTGCTCAGGAGGTCAAGCACTAAGCTGCTGGCACAAAGTCAAGGGGGCAGTGCCCAGCTGGGAGCCCATTTATTTCTCCATGAACGTTCTTCCGGGATTCGGAGGTGAGGAAGGTGCCCCTGCCTCCCTGAGCTCTGAGCTCTGAGAACATGAGCTCCCTGCAACTCCTGCACTGGCCTGGTCCCTCACCTTATTAGGCAGCCAGCAAAGAATACTCTGTCGGGGCTCCACTGCCTGGGCCTCAGACACAGCGCTCTGGGCGGTGAGACCTCTTGTCGGGTCAGGATTACTCATTGGGCTCCGGGCATTCTGGGTGAGGTGTGTTCTCACTCCGTTTCCAGCAGTTAGCCAGCCTAGGGGATGACAGGACGGGAGAGCGAAGTCTCTCGTCTCTTCGATGGGGCCCAGAAATCCCATCATTCTACATGACCATAAAATCATTTTACTTTTTTCCCTCCTACAGTCCTGCAATGTGTTCTGCAATTTGCAACGATACGTAAAAGCACTGTCACGTCAATTCTAGGTAGGTCAGCTGTGACCGCCGCCTTACAGAGGAAGACAGTGTGGTCCAAGGAGATAAAAAGTGATTCGGGCTTTGGCAAGTCAGTGACCTTGACTGCCTGGCCCTACTCCTTCCCTGAGTCTGAACCTCCTCGTTTTCTGACAAACACCTAAGAGGTCTTTAAAAAATTGAAAAAAAAAAATATAGATTGATTTCAGAGAGGAAAGGAGAGGGAGGAGAGACAGAAACAGCAATGATGAGAGAGAACTACTGGCCGGCTGCCTCACGCACTCCCCCCACATCAAGAATGAACCTGCAATCTGGGCATGTGCCCCTGACGGCAATCGACCCTGGGACCCTTCGGTCTGCAGGCTGACGCTCTATCCACTGAGCCAAACCGGCTAGGGCCTGAGAGGTCTTTTAAATGCAGGCCTCCCTGGGTTTGTGCTGGTAGTTTCCCTATAAACATCTATGGGGCAAGCATTTTTGCTGCCCAGCTAATTGGCCACAAGGCAGTTTTGCCATAAAAGACAAAATAACTGGCTGACAGTTAGGTTTACATTTGGCAGATTTCATGTATTTAAGCTGGCTGTCAGCTGGCTTTTATTTCTCCTTGAGTGAAGTTCTTAGAGCTACTCCCATTTCACATTGTATAAATCTCCGCCTTCACCGCGGTCTGTACAGTGACAAGTAGACGTGGTGTTCTTAAAATAGTGGGTAACAGCTACATATAAAGCAGGCTGCAAAGCCCCGTGGACGGCCAGACGGCACACACTACCGGAAAATGATCACAGATCAGCCTGCAAATCCCTCGCTGAGCCAAGGAGCCCTCTCACTTGTCAAAACCAAGTTGACCAGGCTGTGCAAATTGATACCTCTCTTAAGGCAGGAAGAAGAAATTTTAGCAAAAAGGAAAAAGAGCTATGGCTTACAAGGGGATCAACCAGCAAGCAAATTTTTTAAAAAGGATAATGCTATCAATGGAAGATGTAGTTTCCTTTTTCTCAATAGTCTTAAATTTTGGTTTTAATTTTTCATCTCTCAGAATCATTATGTCCTTTTAAAAAAAATTATTTTATCATTTACGGCAAAATTGCTTTAGGCCACCCTGGTCGGTTTGGCTCAATGGGTAGAGCATCTG